TTCCGTTGTTTTCATCTCTGAGTTGTTTATCCCGCCTATCCTATCAAGATAGACATACAGAGGCATTAATAAACACAAAAACCAGGCAGTCAAACAAAACAAAGGAAGACAAAACCAACAAAACAATAACAACAAAAAGAAATACACTGACAAAAAAGGAAAAGCCTATACATAGGTCCAGGTCTGTTCGCTGACCTTTAGGAGTGCTTTCCAGTCGAGTTTGATGGGGTGCCACACTGTGTCTCCAATGTCTATTTTTGCTATTCCCTGGGGATTTCATCACTTTGCTCCCCTTGCTGCTCTGTTGCTTGCCCTTACTGTTTCCCCCAGCGTGATGGGGTCAGATTGGGCACAATTCATGCACTCTGTCTCCAGTGTTGTCCCTCATACCGCTATGGGTCAGTGAGGGATGTTGTGTCTCATGGTGGGGCTGGTCCTGTGGTCCTCTCTGTGCATTGGGTGCTCTGAGCAGGAATACCGTCATCAGGGCTAGGTAGGCCAGGATATCATCCAGCTTTTAAACTTATGGGAAATTTTGTTTCATTACACCTTTGCATCGTTAATAAATGTCTACTGTTGAGTCATAAATTATCACAAACCTAGTGGCTTAAAACAACACAGCCGGCCCCCACCAGCATCTCAGCTCCCTGCTTTCAAATGTGAAATCCTTTGAAGTTAAATGTGGAAAGTGTGAGTGGAATGGAACAACATGGTGCATTTCCCCTCACTTACATATGTTGCTGAATGTGTGAAACAAGTCGAGGCATTTAAATAAAGATTTGAATAAGTGAAAAGTACAAGAAAACAAACGAAAAACAATACATCCAGTTAGTAGTTCAACAATTCACAGTAGGCCTTTCTAAAGCTAGCAGTTTTACACTGCCATGCTAACTCTTTTCTGCCGAGCATGACTATGGCATAATGGTTACAGGCTGGGCTGCTCACTTAAAGGCCAGCAGTTAGAAACCTCTAGAAGCTCCATGAGAAAAAGAAACTCTCGACTCTTGTCTAGAGTTAGTCTAGGAAACCCAAAAGGGGAGTTCTGCCCTGGCCTGTAGGCTTGTTTTGAGTTGGAATCGACTCAGTAGCAGAAATCTTGTTTGTTTTCTTTTTGGTTTATGACTATACCACATTGTGCTTATCCATTCATCAATTGATGAACAATTGATTGTTTCTATTTTGGGGCTAACGTGATAATGTTGCTGTGAACATTCACATACAAGTCTTTATGTGGACATGTTTTCTTTTATACTGGG